AGGGGCCACAGGTTACCCAGCCCTGAGAAATCCATGAAATGGACGTTTCCTTCTTTTATTTTTCAATTTAAATGAGCAGAAGGGAGACCTGCCAATCATTGATCTGAAAATAAAGAAAAGATAGACTCAGAAGATGCCAAATATGAAGTGTACATTACTAGTTGAACAGCTAGTTTACCATGTTTTATCTACCAACTTGTTGCTGAGAACTCTGAAATCCATACTTATAGCTCTCCTCTCTCCCCTGAGTTACAGATCTCCCCCACCCCTCTTTTTAATGAGTAATTCCCCCTAAATATCCGATACCGTTGCATGTACTCTCGGCTGGAATAAATATCATCTACTGAGCCAGATAAGGTGGGAGCCCTCCTAGACCAGATGTCATATGCTGGACAGGCAAAGAACACAGACTCTGGTCCCAGGTGACCCAGGACTGACCACTGGATTGACCACTTATTAGTCGTATGACCTTGGGCAAAATATTCTACCTCACTTTCTTTCATTTGTTAATGCGAAAAGAGCTGTCTCGCAGTAGTAATGTGAGGAGTTGATACTTGACTCAGTGGCTGCCAGGTAGTAAGTGCTCAGTAATTATTAGGTAGTGATACTAACGTCTCTCTCTCTCCACAAGTCCTGTTGAACCCTATTCTACATTTTCAATATATCCTGTCTTCTCCTTTGCTACATGGCCATGATTTGGACCTTTACAGCCTGGTCTATTCTGATAATCTCATACTTGATTCCTCAGTCCCTTGTCTTACCACCTTTGCCCACAGAATAGCCAGAGTGAGCTTTGCATGAAACAAAATATCTTTCTCTACTCGAAGTCTTTACCTAGTTCATCACCTACAGATTGAAACAGAACCTTCTAGGTGCTTCATAACGTGGTCTCCAGCTACCTCACCAGCTTCATCTCCTGACCCTACTACCATAAATCTCGGATATTCCACTGACCAGTGATGTTAAGCGTAGACATTACTGTAGGTATCCTTACTTTATGTGTACAAGAGGAGCCAAAATATTTATCATTGGCAAAAACTTGTAAAATCAAACACAAATTCCAATGGAAATGGATGCTAAATCTTTATTGACTCTATTAACAGAAAAGAAACTCAATCATCAGGCAGATAATGCCAGTAATACTAATATCCTTTCATAATTAAAAGTCAAGATAAGAGTTAAACTGTCATTAGATTATGCATTTTTTTTTAAATCCTGAAACAACCAGCAACTTGGTAGCAACCAAAAGAACCTAGTTCATTCCATCAGTGGTGGGAATCTATGCAGACTAACCAAATTTCATCCATTCTACTTCGCACATTTTATCACGGTCACATCCCTGAACTCAGAATGGGTTTTACAGTCTCTGCTGCTCAGGCCAGATGTTGTTTAGAAGAAAATCCAAGAAATAGTTGTAGAGCCCCCTTAAGAAATGCTTCATGGCATGTGCCCAGGTTGTGGGCTCGATGCCCAGTCAGGGGTGTGCAGGAGGCAGCCGATCAATGACTCTCATCATTGATGTTTCTCTCTCTCCCTCCCTCTTCCTCTCTCTGAAATCAATAAAGATATTTTTTTTTTTAAATGCTACATGGCCAACACTCTTGATAGCACAGAAGATGCTACTGTTTGGAGGAAGAGATAGCTGTTATTCTGAAGGGAAAAGTGATAGAGCAGAGTCAGACTCTAAATACGAAGTTTTAGGAATACCTCGTCAATTGTTTCACTTATATTTTACATTTTATGTGTATGCAAGAGGAATATATGACAAAAATATAAATTTAGCAGAACAATTTTTAGTAAGATAAAACCTCAAAGTGATAAGTGTCACAGATTAATCAGCAGCATCCCCGATTCCAACCCACCTGCCGCTGAAGGTGTATTGGATTTGGTGAAATACTGCAGTGTATATCGGTGAGTAAATTAGACCAGGTATAACTAAGGAAAATAAAAGTACTATACAGCCATTAAATTAGATGAAAAAGAATATTTAGCCACATGGGAAATTTTCTACAGTATACTGCTAAGCAAAAAGGTTTCCATACAGCATGTAGATTATCCACATTATATTCATGTACACACGTAGGTAAGAAGACAAAGCATGCGTCAGAAATAAACCACATAATGAGATTCTAAGTTTTTGTTTACCTCTTTCAATATATTTTTAAAGACTGTCAGAGATTTATACAATGAAAATGTATTACTTTTGTAATTAAAATTTTTATTTGTAAAACTAAGGCAGATTGCAGTGGGGTGGGTAGGGGGAGAAATAAGATACTTATGAGCTCACATCTAATAAGATAAAAAGGATCAGTATTGCAACACATGGGGAAGGTTCCTTTAAAACCTCAATGCTTTCAAGATCCAAAAGGATGGTGACAGAATCCACTCATGCAAAAGTTAGTTAGCATCTCCTCTGTGCCAGACATCGCTCCAGGAGCACAGATTAAAGCTGTAAGTCAGACAGACAAACGTGCCGGCCCTCAGGAAGCTGAATTTCACGTGTGTGAGACAGACCACACAAAATAACCAAATTATAGTGTATGTTAGCTTTTAGAACTAAAGAGAAAGATAAAACAGGGAGAAAGAATAGGGATTTTGCGAGAAGGGGGGCATTTTAAGTGGGATCATGAGAGGAAGACCTTCAGGATATGAAGGAGCCCAGCATGTTTGATGTTTGAGGAAAGGCCATTCCAGGCAGGAAAAGCAAGTGCAAAGGCCCAGAAGTGGGAGCCCATCTGGAATCTACAAGGAGCAGAGCAAGGATGCCATTGACAAGGAAGACACGAGAAATGGAGGCTAAATGGAAACAAAGTCAGAGAGGAAAGGAGAGGGGGCTAGCAGGTTGTATAGGTCAGTGCTGGTGACTAGAAAAGGTGAGTCCCATATACAATTTAAATTTTTCTAGTTGCCTCATTAAAAAAGTTACCTCATGAAATGAATATATTAATATCATTTCAACCTGTTCATAAAAGTACTAATGAGATGTTTTACTTTTTTATTTTAAAAATAATTTTATTTTTACAGCAGTTTAGTTAAAAGGTATAGAGATGATTTTTTTGTACCAAGCCTTCGGAATTTGGTGTCTTGCACACTTTCAGTGCGTCTCAGTTCCGCTCACATCATTTCAGGTGCTCAGCAGCCACATGTGATGGCCCCTACCATTTTGGACAGCACAGATCTAGCCTTGTAGAAACTAATTACTCTGCCATTTGCTGTGAATGTATTGGGGAGCAATAGAAGAGTTTTGAGCGCAACAGTGACATGATACAACTTGGGTTTGCAGCATATCTACTGTGCTGAGAATAGAAGAGAGAATGGCTCCCCGCGTGCCCCAGAAAGGACTTCGGACAAGCTTTCATTAAAGAGCAAAACTGGGTATAGGTCACCGTGAACCCAATAACTGGCTCTGGCTCGGGGAATGAGTATGATTGTGGTTCCCTCAACACCCTGTCTTTGCACAGGCCGTGAATAAGACAGGCTGCCCTCCCACATGTAGGGGTCTCTCTTCATGCTTCAAGACCCAGGTAGACCACTGTCTTTTCTGGGACATCTCCTATGCCCTGACCCCAAAATAACTTATACTCCTACAATATTCCATCACAGTCCTCGGTTTATATGCTTGTTTCCTCTCATGGACGGCGAGATCCTCAAGGCAAGGTACATAACCTGTCTCTCTTTAATTCCTAATGCCCACTAGAGTTCCCAGAAGTAAGTAAGGCCTCAAATATTTGTAAACTTGAAGCAAAAAAAACCCAACAAGTTAGCTAAACATCCCCCAAATGAAAACAACCTAAATGTCTACCAACTGAGATATATTTATGTATTTATACAATCCAATACTAGAGAGCCAGGAGAATAAATAGAGTAAACTACACACAACATAAGTGATTATTGTAAGCCGTGTGTTGAATGAAAGAGACAAGATACAAGAGAGTATATACCACATGATTCCACATATATAATGTTTATTACAGACAAAGTAGACAGGATACTGATTACACTTGGAAGTAGCAACTGTAAGGGGCAAGAGGGCCTCTGGGATTCTGGAAACATTCTGTCTCTTTTCCTGGATATTTTGTGTGTCTAATTTTTAAAAGTATATTAAGCTATACAATTATGTATGTGTATTTTCTTATATGTATATTATATTCCAATTAAAAGCTTACAAGATATATATATAGCTCCCAAAAGACAACAAAACAAAAAAATGTAAATTATTTTAAGTGCAGGTCGTTTTGCTCTGCTGTAAAAGTGCTACCATTCAGTATGTAAAAATAAAATTATGGCTAATCGAATAATATGTAGTATATGCAGTCTTTATAATTAAAAACATCTACTAGTACAACATGTGTTAAGTATTTTACATCAGTTTTCCTCTTTCCTCAAAAAGGATCATGAGTCATAATTTGGAAAACATTTTAACATGTAATAATTTAGTATTTTTATTTTAATTCCCTTGTTTTTACTTTTGCCCTGCAATTTTCCATAAAGGTGTATTTTAAGCACTTTAAAACGTACAGCTTCATATTATGTATTTACTCTAACGCAGTGGTTCTCAACCAAAAGCAGTTTTGCCCCCAAGGGGATATTTGAGAATACCGGACATTCTTGGGTATCACAACTTGGAAAAGGCCAGGGATACAGCTAAACCTCCTACAATGCACAGAATAGCCCCTAACGACTGTTATCTAGCCCTAAATTTCCGTAGTGCTGAGGTTGAGAAACACTGCTCATTATTTCATTATTTAATGAAATAATGTTGAAATTTTAAAATTAGAATTTTTTATAGACCGATTTAATCTCGTAGAGATTTTAGTGATGCTGAAATTGCTTTGCCTAAAGCGAATGAATTTTCTTTAAAAATTGTATTAGCATCTTCTAAATTGCTCATATTCTTAAAAGCGTGTACCGTGGTTATTTTCGTGTTGTTTTCTTAAAAAAAAAAAAAAAAAAAGAGTTTGAGAAATATGTTGTTTATAACAATTTTATTCTTTCTCCAGGCTAGAAGAACAAAAGAATATCTTGTCAGAATTTCAAAGAGATTTAAATGAATTTATTTTATGGTTGGAAGAAGTGGATAACATTACTAGTATTCCACCTGAAACTGGAAATGAGCAGCAGCTAAAAGAAAACCTTGAACAAGTCAAGGTAATTTTATTTTCTAAAGTTCCCCAGAGCCTCCTTATATAAAGAATGTATGAATCTATTTTTTAATGTATTTAATCATTGATTTCCTACCCATTATGTTATTGATAGCTCCTCACTCCTTTTTCTTCCAACTCTATTTTGCCTTAACCCAGTGTTTTCAAATATGTATATCTTTTTAAAAATGCGCGTGTATGTGTGTGCATATATCTACCCACATATACACATACTGCAGGGCAGTATGTTAAGCTAATTGGAAATTAATTTTAGGCTCATTGTAGAAACCCACAGCTCCAAATTATTTTAAAAACTAGGAAGAATCTCTCCAGAAATGAATCCCCCTTTTTAGGGCAGGTAATTGCCAAACCAGTCCCACTCCTTCAGCCCCTAATTAAAATTGTTCAGTTCGCCTAGAGTAATGTTTTGTCTGGGCTTTGGGGGCGGGCCTGGTGTTGGGGCCCACCCTGATCCTGCTGGAATAGACAGCCAGTTTATTCAAGCTGCTTTTCATAGCTTCCTACTGTCAGGTCTGCTGCTCGCTGATCACCTCCCCTGGCTGGCTGACTGACATGCTCTGATTGTGCGGCCGGCTTCACTGTCACGGTTTTAGTTTTAGGAAAGAAACTCTTTTGCATCTGTTTTACGTTAAATCTTGAAGGGAAGGTGAAAGGGAAAGGGAAATTAACATTAATCATCCCCTATTATGTGCTAAGTATTAGATGTGTTTATATCCGCTATTTTATTTAATCTTTATGTCAAGCTTTCAGAATGATTGCTGCCGCCTTCATTTTGCTAGGTGAGGATCAAAGGGGCATGGGATTGCTCCTTTATCAATGATTCACTTGGTTTGGACATGCAAATTAGATTCCCATGTCAACCACCGATTTCTGTGAAATAAGAAATTTATTCCTGAACAGCAGATAAAGTATAAAAACGACTGCTTGATTCAGTAAACAGATACTGAGTGCCTACTACTCTATGTCAGATATCGCACTAGGTATTTGAGATTCAAAAATAACAAGTTTTGAACCCATATTTTGTTTGAGTGTGGCTGTGTCATGGAAAAAATGACCTCAATCTCTTCTTGAAAATGCATCTTTTCTAAATGTATGAGTGTCATATATAGCAATATAATTGATAGCTCATTTCAGAGACACGTTTAGCAGCATTCATTTATTAATAAACGTACATTGATTTTTCTTTTCTCCGCATGCAATCTGGATCAGCACTGTCCAAGAGAAATTTTGTGATGATGGAAATGTTTTACATTATCTATTGCAGTAGCCACTGGCTATTTGTGCCTTTTGAGTACTGGAAGGTAGCTAGCATGACTGAGGAACTGAGTTTTTATTTAATTGAACTTTACTTGATTTAAATTTAAATAGCATCATGTGGTTCATGGTTTTGTATTGGCCACTGCAGCTCTAGATGGCACAAATAAATGGTGTCTAGTTATTAAAACCATGGGGTTCTGTAGATCTTGGGAAAAGACATTTATAATGGGATGCTGAATGAATAAGAGAAATTCGGGATGGTGGAGGAGTCAAAAGTGAGGATTCATGAATGAAACTCCCCAAGTTTGAATCACAGCTCTGTTGCTTCCTTTTTTTTTGTTTTGTTTTGTTTAACCCTCACCTGAGGATATTTTTCCATTGAGTGTTTAGAGAGAGAGGGAGGGAGGGAGAGAGGGAGGGAGGGAGACAGATGGAGAAACATTGATGTCAGAGAGACACATCGATTGGTTGCCTCTCGCACGTACCCCGACCAGGTCCAGGGATCGAGCCTGCAACACAGGTACATGCCCTTCACCAGGAACTGAACCCATGACCCTTTGGTCTGCAGGCTAATGCTCTAACCATGGAGCCAAACTGACCAAAGTGCTTCCTACTTTTTTGTAATTGGATCTGGTAGTTTACCTCTCTGTCTTAGTTTCCTTCTCTATAAAATGAAGATAATAGGATCTACCTCATAGAATTATTCTATAAAATTTAACTGATGCCCGGCGTGGCCCAGCAGTTGAGCATCGACCTAGGATCCAGGAGATTTCAGTTCGATTCCCAGTCAGGGCACAGGCCCGGGTTGCAGGAGGCAGCCGATCAATGACTCATCACTGATGTTTCTCTCCCTCCCTCTGCCTTCCTCTCCCTAAAATCAATAAAGATATATATATATATATATATATATATATATATTTTT